GGCAGAAGCCACAACATGCTGGCGGAATTATAATTGGAATCCAATCTGTAAGCAACCAGAGAAGCTACTATGCAACACAAAGAGGAAAAAAGCATACCAATGATGATTCTAAGGAGCTTAGCCCACCGCTGTTTTTTTCTATCATGGTACTGTTTGATTAGACAACGGCACACCTGCTCGGTTATTTTGGAGACAAGCTCCGGAAAGGAATAGAAAACGGATTTAGGAATCTTGAAGCTTTGGGTATTATTCTCTAGATAATCAACTTGTTCCATGAAGAAAGAGTCAGCTGTTGCATTAACCAGATAACATGTAGATGCGAATGTTAGCCATAAAGGTAATAGTTTTAGAACCACTTTTACTGCTTTCTTTACCTCTGGAACTAAGGCAACTGGAATATGCTTTCCACACTTTCCATCAATTTTCTCTTCACCCTTTTTATCTTGTTTCTTCATTTCACCAGATTTGTTTTCATTCGTTATATCATTTTCCATTTCACCAAGGTCGTAACATTGAGCCCCCATCCAGAAGAACAAATTATAACAGATTATCGCCACTGCTGTTGAAATCTTGATGAAAACTTCAGTAGAAAACACTGCTGCAAGCACTGTACCCAAGATTGTCCCTGGAAGTTTAGCAGCAAATAACTTTTTTTTTATACGATTGCTCATTTTTTCCGCATTTTCTTGCTGTAGCTCTATTGACTTACAATCCATCTCTTCCTCTGTGTCCTGTGGACCCTTCTTCACCGACTTTTTTTTCTGATCTTTTACTGATGAGTCCCCGCTATTCTGTTTCTCTGTGCAACTTGACTCCAGACAGCAACATGTGCGTATTCCTTCTTCTCGGGCTCCCTCTTTCACTATCGGACATACATGTGGTCTCCAATTGTATTGTTCCCCCAAAAAAAGGCTTACACAACCTTCTCTTGCAGTTGCAGCTGGTGCTATACACCCAATTAACCGATTGTCCAGATGACAACACATACATCCTGGTTTGGTTCCGCAAATTTGTTTTGAACATGGAGATTGAGGTGGTAACGAATCTTCTTTTGGCCCTTGCCTTGGCCTTTGCCGTGACCTTTGCTCGGCCTTTTTAAGCTCATTTCCGTACACATAACTAGTAGATTTTTCTCCTGCATAACCCGCTCTCAGCGTTAATAGTTGTACACCAAGAAGAGACCGACGCGAGCTTCTCTTGGATGGACTAAACCACAATAGCTGAGAACCCTGCAATAAGAGTTGACAATCAATTTCCCACTAAAAAAAGAAGAAGAAGAATTAACAATAAATTAATGATCGGATTTCTCTTTAATATTAGTAATTTGCTTCTTTTTGTTCTATTACCCGTCCTCAATTTGAGGGTGCTTCATATTTGGGATCTACGTTTGTACCAAAAAAATACTACTTTCTCAGTTTTAAAATATGAAAAAGATAAAAGAATTAAGACATCCTAATATTAAAAATATCAAAATATCTAGTTATAATCATTGAGGTATAGTATAAAATTTAATTTTATCAAATTTATCATATGACTATTATTTCTTTTTCCTTTAAATTTAAAAGGCTCTTGTTGATCACTTTCTTGAAAAAAAATATAAGGGCTTTCATTTTTTTCTATGTATTTTTAAATAACAATTTTTATAATATATAAATGATAATTGAAAATTTTTTTATTAAATGAACTATTCAATAAGAATTATATATAAAACCAACAATAGTTTGGCCAAAATGATATCCCTAATTTATAAATCTTAATTGAAGATGAAAATTAAAGATTTAAACTTTTATAATATCAAATAACTACCATTTAATAAAAAAAATTATACATAGAAAAAAAATGGATTATCATATGATAAGGTCTGTCATCCAATAAATGAGTCATATATGAGGATGACTCCACTAGGGACGCATGTTCTAATTGATTCCAGCTGCCAATATTGTTTAAAGAATTATGCGTGTCTTTTCAAACACACAAGTGAAATATTCACAAGCTTTTCCGTTCATGTCAACCCTTCATCCAGTTTCGGCCGATCGTCCCGCTTCATTTTATAAGGTTCGCTCCCTTATAAAATGAACAAGAGAGTAATTAATTATTAATTTAACTTTGTAGCTAACGGAGTAAGAAAAACACAAGGTGTTAATTGCAACTCTGTACCTTATTCAGGGAGCGAAACACAAATATCTCAAAACTCATAGAGGTGAAGCCTGAGGTACACCTGTTTTTATAACATGGTATCAAAGATGCGGATAGAAAAATGAACTTACAGAGATGAAAGTTGCATAGGTGTAGAGGATCATTCTGGCGAGACCCATGCGGAATTTTGCCATGTATACCAAAAAAACGCCAAAAAGTGCTCCAAATCCTTTTTGCACATTCGCGACGATCACTGAAGTTTTGAGGCTGTACATCCCTTGCTTTTGGATAAACAAAACCAAGTAACCTACATATCCATATTCTGCAATCGACTGGCCGAAGAGTAAAACTGTAATGTACACACAACAGAGTGGAAAATAAGGTTAATTGCAAACTTATATATATACACCTCAATTTTCATTTCTTTGAAGGTGAATCCTAGTAATATTAACAACACCTGAGAGGGCCAAGCCAGCGCCGGTAAAACTGGAGCAGGCAAAACCTTCGCAGGCCGAATCAACGCCGGAGTCCAGGGGGTTGTAACTGGATACATATTCAAGTATACTCTCCCAGCTGAAACCCCCTGTCATGTGGAGAGAAATGCAATTTCAGCTGCCTGTTTCTTATCTAGAGGCAAATGAGCGAGCTGGTACCGTCTCAATTATGTATACATATCAATATATAAGAAGAAAATGAGTCAAACACTAATGCACAAGTACTACTCTATACAAAGCTCATTTATTAAAAAGAGAAATGGTTGGTTGAGGAAGAGAGAGGGGGAGGGGGGGGGGGTTGAAGTCTTCTCTAATAAAAAAAAAAACTAATTCAAATTGTGGTTTGATGACAAATAGAATAAGATTTTGATTCCATGACAAGATATACAGAAACGTTTTTCAATGTCATTAATTTATAGGTTTGATACCTTTTTTGGCATTGAGTATCTCTTATGTTTTCTTGTCATTGCTTACTAACAGGGGTAGGATTGCTTCTTCAACTTCCTTCTTTTAGCATTTTTTTCGTATGTTGAATTAACAAATTCAGTCACACCCTCCAATTTTGCTTTCAAGTGCAACCAAGATCTCTCACCTGCACTAGCTCCACTTTCTTTACGTACAAACATTAAAGACTTCCTGATTTTACCGCAACCATAAAAGACCAGATCACTGCAAACCATATTAACCATCCATGGCTCACTCCGTCTTTTGGCAGGGCCTGATCCTTCATGCTGCAACAAGAATACCTTCACATGTACCATGTATTATTCCATACAATATCCCAACCAATTGTAACAGGCAGCTAGTCCACAATTCTTGTGATTTTTCACATTCAGCCAATAAATGATTGCTAGTTTCTCGTTTCTTTTGCCAGAAGGGACAAGGTATATATACAGCTGTAGAATCGATCCAGACTAATTCCCCTTTTTTGCACAGTTAATTTGGTTGTCATCTTGTCTTATACAGCTCTCCACGCCAATGCAGCGACATTGGGTGGAACCAATTTGTTCCAAATTAATTAATCCGTAGTGCTTGTCTTGATTGGAAGTGCAACCGATCAGAATTTTATAAGTCAAGCTGGTATACATATCCTCCTGTAGAGTCTGCATACTTCTGCTAGCTCTCAAGTTCTATTTCAACTATATCAAGAGCTTGGAACATGTGAGGAAGTGTTTGAGAAGGGATAGAGCT